TTTTACGTGATGCTTGGGTACAGCAGTGCTCTTCAGCGTGCACCGTTGAGATTTCCCTGAATGTAGCCAAACGAAATTCTCTTTGGAAAAATGAATACTGCAAACACGGAGTTCTTTTAGGGATACGGGTGGCGTATCAATATCCATGTTGAGGCAACTAGCCACAACTACAAGTCCAATGTTCCGCAGAGGAATGCGGTGGAAGCTGTAAGTGCACCAGGATACAGCTTTGCTTTCATGTCCAAGAAGACGACACACACACGGACCATTTTCAAATATTTGCACAAGTTAAACGGCCGTCCGACCGCAACCGCAGTTAAGCCGCTTGCACACTGGACGCCGTAAACGAGTTTTTCGCACACAGATTACATTCAAAGTCAATGCGAAGACGTGAATACACGCGTTTGTGCAAGCAGCTTTATGTGGCCCAAACAGCTGATCGCTACAGCACGCAGTGAACTACGATCTCTGCGTGCTCGCGCAGAATACGCCAGTTGGTTAGTTCAAGAGCAACTGTGTTTTTTTTCCCGAGCAGCTAAAGTGCTGTAATTTTTTAAATATAGCGTACAATTGAAATGTTGTATTATTTTCAGGTAGGACCTCTTTTAGGCCGCGAAAATGCGCTGTTTCTATGTTTCCGTTCGCAACAGTGTATCGCTTAAATTTCCACCCAGCACTATGCCCTGGTGCGGCTACCTGGAGGAGATCAGAGAGCTTTCTACTGCATCTAATGTAAGTAGTGGCAATTTGTAGCTCATACAACCCCACTTCAAAAAAAGTGAACTATCCCTTTAAGTGTGGAGAAATACTGAAACAGGGAAGAATATTTTTCTGTTTGGTTATTTAAGATTTCAGCAAAACCCTCAAAATAACAGAGTTAATGCTGTTTATTTTCTTATATGCAGTCGGGAAATTAAAAGATCCACTATAAAATTTTATTCTGTGTCCGGTCTCATCAATGATTGATCTGGCCTCGTATTTATTTTCAGACCACACTCACATGAATATATGTGGGCTACATGTGATTAAAGCCAATGTATTTCAAAGAGCTATGAAGGAAATACTGCAAGTTTAGCCATTAAACGTTCTCAATAAGACAAAGACCCAGTCTCCCGATTCTCTAACCGGAGTCAACTGTCCGTATTGGCCGCTTCAGTCCAGCGTAATTCATTCAAGTTAATGTGGAGATTCTACAAGTGTTACAGACCTGAGACCAGCCAATGGTGAGTAGTTTTTTATTAATCAATTATTATATCTTCATTAGTTACTCTTCGTAATGGAGCAGTTCATAATCTGTACATTTTAGTAACTTTCTAAATGTCTCTTTTCATCAGCACAATGGCAGCTGCATCCCCACAGCCCATGATTCTTCATGTTGTTGAGACAGACTGGGTTCGAAAATTAAAACTCAAGACCGGCCTCTGTTGATGCCCTCATTAAGATTATAAAAGAACAGTTGGACATACGTTGTAGACCTTGACTTCAATTTGCAATATGAAGATCTAGACTTTGATGGGAAAACTCGCTTCCCTCGTTGATATTGAGGAGTTGCCACAAAAGGCTGTTGTGCATATCTCACTTTCACAAGATTCCAGCTCTCTTGCATCTACTGATACACTTTCAAGTGTGTCACCTCCAGAGCGTTTAAGCAGCGTGTCTGCAGAGGATGTGAGGAGGACTCTGCAGCACATCAACCCCCGCACAGCAGCAGGCCCAGACAACATTCCAGGAAGGGTTCTGAAGGAGGGGCTCATGAACTTACAGGGGTGCGGGCAGATATCTTTAACACCTCACTGTCCCAGGCTGTGGTCCCAGTGTGTCTGAAGACATCCACCATCATTCCTGTACCCAAAACTGCAGCAGCAAAAAGCATGAACAACTATCGTCCGGTAGCACTCACCCCGATAATCATGAAGTGCTTTGAGTGGCTGGTCATGGCGCATATAAAGAACACCATCAACACCAACGTGGACCCAGACCAGTTCGCTAACAGGAAGAACCGCTCTGTATCAGATGCAGTGTCATTTGTCATTCACATTGCTCTCACCCACGTGGAGAGTGAGGATTCGTACACCGGCTACTCTTCCCGGACTTTTGTTCTGCATTCAACACCATCATCCCGCAGAAACTCGCTAACAAACTGCTGCTGCTCGGAATATCACCTTCCCTCGGCAACTGTCAAGTCAAGATGTTTATTGTCACACAGATGCACAAGTACATGCATTGTGAAAAACTTAGGTTGGGGGTGCTCCACAATACACATAAATAAGAACAGTAAATAAATAATAGTAAAACCTATCTAAAAAGTTAAAAAAAAAAAAACTGGGTCCTGGATTTCCTGACACACCGGCCACAGACCACCAGGATTCATGGCAATTCATCTTCCCCCATTACCTTAAACACCGGTTCCCCTCAGGGCTGTGTCCTGAGTCCCCTTTTGTTTACACTTTACACGTATGACTGCTTGGCTAAATACCCAGGCAGTCGTATTATGAAATTTGCAGATGACACAGCAGTGGTGGGTCTGATATCCCACTGTGAGCAGTCTGCATACCGCCAGGAAGTAGACAATGTGGTGGACTGGTGTGGGCAGAATAACCTCTGCATTAATGCCGGGAAGACAAAGGAGCTCATCATTGACTTCAGGAGGAGGAGTCACACCCCCACTCCCTTGTTCATTAAAGGAGCAGCCGTGGAAATGGTCCACATCTTCAAGTACCTTGGAGTCCACATTTCCAAGGACTTGACGTGGACTATCAACTCCTCCTGCATCTTGAAGAAGGCCCACTAATGCCTCTATTTTTTGAGGAAGCTAAGACAGGCTGGTCTCAAAACCGCAGCGCTGGTCACTTTCTACAGGTGTGTGCTGGAGATCACACTCACCTTCTCCATCAGCACCTGGTATTGGAACTGCTCAGTTGCTGGCAGGAAGGCTCTGCAGCGAGTGGTGAAAACCGCTCAGAAAATCACTGGCAGTAGCCTCCCCTCCATCGAGGACATCTGCATCAGCAGGTGCATGAGCAGTGTGGCCTGCATTATGGAGGACCCCACCCATCCAGCACATTTCAGCCCCTTCCCTCAGGCAGGCGACTGCGAAGCATCAAGGCCAGAACAAAGAGACTCAATCACAGCTTTTACCCAGCAGCTGTGAGATTGGTCAATTTAAGGCCACATTGATTGAATGAACTTCTACTGCATTGTTCTGCCTATTGCACTGCTATGTTTGTTTTTACCTTTTTTTTTTCCTACTGCTCAAACATTTTATCATATTTATTGCCTATTGTGCTGCTGGTCCTGAGGACAAATTTTATCTCATGTGGAACATGAAATGATAATAATAAAACCTTGAACCTTGAACCAGATGACCTCCAGGTCCTTTTACAGTTCCTGCATTTTCATTAGACGTTGAGCTTAAGCTTAGAGAAGGGAATGCAAGAACAACAAACACCTTAAGTTGACAAGAGACCTAAAACACGACATTTTAGAAAAGGTTGCAGCTACAATATATGGCTTCAAGGCTTACCTAAGTGATAAAGAGATAGTAATGGTAGCTGAGGCTCTCGTGGCCAAGCATCCCTGTTTGAAGGAAGCAGGATCTGAGACTGACTGCAATGGATGGAAGAACAGCATAAAATGGGACCTATTATGCTGATCCTTCTTTCAATACATATAAGTAATGTTATAATGTTGGATGTCCATACTCAACCTCTGTAAAATTTCTCACGCAGTGTCTAGAGATACGGCAGTTTTATGGGTACGGTAGTCGAGTTGAAGGGATTAAGATAAGGATTAGGGATTATGGTTAGAGGAAGGGTTAGGTTAGGGGTCAGGGTTAAGGTTAGGGTTAGGGTTAGGGTCAGGGTTAGGTTAGGGCAGAGTTTGAAATTGGGACTGCCATACCTCTCTACATTGAAATGCATTGGAAAACTGCCATACCCGTAGCAACTGCCAATTTCTAAACATAATATACAGGGGTTTTCCCGTAGTTATTTCCTCTCTGAACAGCTCGTTCCGATATCTTCATGAGATCTGGGAAAAACCTGACGTCAGGTTGTGCCGTCCAATTAATATAGACCTAGCCAGAGCCAATCACTGCGCTGGACCTGCCCACACCAGAAACTATTCAAGCAGGCACAAACAATCGCGGATCATACTATGCCTTATTAGCGTCTACACTTCCAGAAATACAAAAGAACTGCAGATCATTTGAGGTGCAGTTTTGTCAGTATCTCTCCCAAAGCTGCTCGTCCGTTTATTTTTGGACGCAAAGAAAAGCACCTATTTCTCTTTCAAAAGACGATGCCACCAGAAATCAGTGGGTAGCTTTTTTGTTTGCTGGCAGCAAACAGTCACGGCCAAAGGGAATGTTAGCTGTTTGTGCTCATTATTTCACCAAAGACAGCTTTGTCAATATGGATAAGCGTTTCAGCTGCTTCTCAAAGTATATTCCCAAAGCTGCTCGTCCGTTTATTTTTGGACGCGAAGAAAAGCACCTATTTCTCTTCCAAAAGACGATGCCACCAGAAATCAGTGGGTAGCTTTTTTGTTTGCTGGCAGCAAACAGCCACGGCCGAAGGGGACGTTAGCTGTTTGTGCTCAGCATTTCACCAAAGACAGCTTTGTCAATAAAGGATAATTTGATGCTGGATAAGTGTTTCAGCTGCTTCTCAAACCTGGAGTAGTTGCATCAATCAAGCGCTCGGAGCCACAAGCTGTAAGTAATGATATAACATCAAATAATGTAAGTAAAGCTAACGTGTTACGGGTGGCTAGCAGGACCGCTAACGATAGTTAGCACTAACAACTGGCCTCAAACGCAGACTTTGTAAAATATCTGAAGATAAAGCCTGGATCGGTCGCGACTGTCCGTGACTCGCAGTCGCAGAAGCTGTAAGTGCATAAGCCTACCTAACGTGATCGCCAGTTGAATGTGGCTGTAGCACAGCAGCTCACGTAGCCAAGTTACTGTTGCTAATGTTTGTGTCCTAAATTTCGTGGGCGGCACGGTGGCACAGTGGTTAGTACTACTGCCTCGCAGCAAGAAGGTCGTGGGTTCGAATCTGGCCTGGAGCCTTTCTGTGTGGAGTTTGCATGTTCTCCCCATGTTCGCGTGGGTTTCCTCCGGGTACTCTGGTTTCCCCCACCCACAAAAATATGCATTACAGGAACACTCCTACCAGTGCCCCTGACCAAGGAACTGGCTTTAGAACTGGAGTTGGTCCCCGGGCGCTGCTCTGTCGCTGCCCACTGCTCCAAACTATAGGATGGGTCAAATGCAGAGGACAAATTACCCCACGGGGTTCAATAAAGTATATCTTAAATCTATCTATCTTAAATATGCAAGAGTAATATCAGGAGACATTCAACAGAAGGTGTGTGAACATAAACCTCATTTGAAACTAACTTTTTATACTTTATGTAATTTGGATGCTTGGTACAACTTCATGGTAACGGAACTTGCTGTTTGTAAGACCTGTATTGTAGGGTAACATTTGTGTCTGTTGTTGTTATGACCGCTCGGTTACCAGCTACTGCATGTTACCTTGTGTGCTGTATTACTTAAAATGCTCCTGGTTGACTTATATGCAGTAGTTATGATCGGTATGCTTCTGTTACTTTGGTAAGCATCAATGTGGCAGTTTCATCATAACGTTGCCTGATTGTAGCCACTATAGTTGAAGCTAACCAGAGAGGTGATGTATGTGTCTGCAAAGTTGGGCAGAAAAGGCTGCAGTTAGACCAGACATAGGTTTTGCAGAGCTTGGGGTGCGTGTTTGGGTGCTTGTGAAATGATCGTTTTACTTATCCATGACCGGTGTCAGCCGGATACTTCACCAATATCTGGGCTAGCTCTCTGATGCTACCGCGGTGAAAGCCATTGCGAAACGCACAAGCTATAACATGTCTGGTATAACAAAGGATTTCTCTGCATTGCCGTGGCGTAATTTCATCCCCCTTTAGAAATTGTTCTGGCTAATAAAATGTAGAAAAAGGCGGAGATTGAAGACGAAATTCTTTCCTGTAGAAGTTATCGATTCGCTAGCTCCACATAAGCAACTGTTCACACTAGTGGAAATTACGGACTGTAAAACCTGTATTATGTTCATAACATAACTGGAGCTCTCTAGCTGTCCCATACTATCCATAACGCGCCCATTTTCCGCGAGCAAACGCCGGTAATTCCTGCGCAATAAGTAAACCGTTACCACGGGCAATTTCCTAAAAGACTGTTTAGCCTGGAGCTTTTGCCCCCCGTCATATACCAGCGCAGAAGCTGTTCGTTACTCCACGCTAACGACACACCACAGTTATCACATAAACCAGCAGGTCCTTACAGTACACACCTAAGCAGTCAATAAGCTGTTGGTTCACTTTTTGCTGCTCATCACTGTCCATGTTTCCCTCTAAACTCAGACCCACCGGATTTCTACGATCTCCAGTCTACACTTGGGTATGTCGACCCGCTCTACAAATGTGTCTGTGTGGGGTGGATTCTAGCTTTCCCTCAATCCTAGCTATAAAGTAAAAACACTGCTGTACTTACTATAGTAGCCATAGGTAGATAGCAAATTCGAGCTTGAGCTGCCAGACTTTCGCACTGCGTCCTCCACTTTTGCCGCTGCGTTTATAGAACAAGTTCATTTCATTAGATCTATACACATGTACAGCGTTTGATTGTGGAATTTCCCCGCCGATTCCTTAGCTCAGATGGCAGACGCTTCTCTCGTTTCACACTAGGGAGGCCGACACGGAAAACTGCGTTCTGCCGAGTCCCGCCCAACTCCGCCCTCCTCAGAGCTGGCCAATCAGAAGAAAGTGGGCACACGGGGAGGGGGGGGCCATAGCGGAAGAGCCACCCAAACGAGGCGTTTCAGGCAGAGACTACAATGGACTACAAATGGGGTTTTTTCAGGATGGCAGTATGAGTTAAATAAGGACCCTTTTTTGGACTTTGAACGATCAGGAGTACTCTAGGGGAGTCCAAGATCAAAATATAAACTTGGAAATGTAGCATAATAGGTCCCCTTTAAGTTTAAGATGGGCAGTTACAGGAGCAAGATGAGAGAAGCTGGATTACAGGAGGTCGCTGTAAATGCTGGAAAACGAAGCAGAAGCAATCCTGACAGTGAACCTTCTCACTCCAACTTTAAAAGACTCAAGCAAGCAGAAGTCAACTTTTTGCCCCACTTTCACCAAGGAGAAGATCCCTCAAGTCTTGACCACTTGAGACTGAAAATTGTTGAAGAAGTCAAGAAGACTGAGAAGGACCTACCCCTCAGAAAAATTCTGTAGACCACATTTTCCCTGCGGCGACTGACCATAGTGAACACTTGCCCACCAGCGAAAGAGCTCATGGACCTCTGGCCTACTCTCAAAATGGAGTTTGAGGTAACATGGATTGGCTCTTTTTCTTGTTTTTCCTTTGTTGATAACATGGGACATTCTGTGTAGTCTAAAGTGATATTTGTGCTTCTTACTCATATGTTGGCTATTTTCTGATTTATAGGAGGGTAATAGATCCTCCAATTTGACCCATCAACTCCTTCCCAGTGGCCAGAGCAAGCCCTGCACCTGGACTGACCTCTCCAAAATGAATGAAGTGGATCTGGACCAACAACCAACACCATTTGGAGCAGAAAAAAATGTTTGCTACATTTAGCTACACGGGTCATTCTCCAGAAACTGCCACTTTTGGGATAGCATTATGTCAAAAAAAAAAAAATTATTTTCATACATTTAAACTTCAGTAACACTTTTAGTTAACCATTTTGTTTTATGAATCCACAAAAATAAGAGCTTAATTGATTACCATTATTTTTCTACACTCGCTTAAAACATGCTTCTGCTGTATTTTTTGTAATTGGTGTTACCTCATAAATTCACAAGTTTTCAATGGTTTTAAGAAATAATATTGCTTAACATATTCTGTACACATAGATAAACAAAAAAATATATGTATGATGCCTTTTCAAAGGCTTAAAACAAAGATAATCATAGTAACATAAATGATGGTAACACCAGTGACAATTTTCATGTCAAAGCCATTTTACAAAATGGCAGTAATAGTAATACAAACCAAATGTTGCTATTCATGTTGGCCTCATTAAAATGCATAATAAAATCAAGTTGTATTATATTTCTTTGCATTTCCCTTCTCATAAAATGGGTAACACCAATGACACCTTCTAAAATCCCCACATGAAATTGTGAGATTAAGGGTCAATTTTACAAAATATGAAAAGAGGCAGCAGACTTATCATGTTTATTCCATGACAGTCTCTCAACAAGTTGTTTGCTCAGTAGGAAATGATGTAATAAATGTTTTTTTTTTTTTCAAAATAGGGGTTATTGTGAAGTGGTAACACCAGTGACATGACACCCGGGGACAGCCATTTCCATTCAATTATTTCTAACAATGAGTTGGAATTTTATTAAATTATGCTATCCATTTCATAAATGTGATATTGGTGTAAAAATTATTGTATTCAAAGTGTGGGGAAAATATATTTTAAAACTTAAAATCTGACATTAAACCTCCACACATCAGCCTGGGGACATGCAATTTTCATGTGCCTCAAATTTGGTATGATTGGTTAAAAATGAATTTGACCCAATGCCAATGCTCAAATTGGTATTACTATTCAAAGAACATCTTATATTACTCAAATATATACATCTAATGTGAATATTAGCTATGTTTAATTTGCAAATAGTATGCAAAGCCAAGGGACAAGAAAGTGGCTTTTTCTGTAGAATGACCCATATAACAGTTGGTTGGGATGTATTATCTACTATTATCTACTCATCAGCCTTCTTGCTTTTAAATTGGTACTTATTAAACAACTTTATCGCTATATCATTGCACAGCAGCTCCCCTCAGCGCTGTATGTTTCTTTATACATCTGGTAAATGTAGCAGTGGCAAAGTGACACAGATACTAAATAGTTAGATGTGGACTATGAATCCCAGACAAACGTGTGTTGTTGTACATCCCTCAAAATATTTTTTCAGCTCAAAGTGGTAGTGATGGTTGCTGGTCCGGATCCACTTGGTTCATTTATGAGAAGAACAACAACGGTCACATCTAACAGCTAACCTTGCTTATCTTGAGCGGACTAATTGATAATACTGTATTGTCCTTCTGCTCCTTCTGTCTTTTAATGTAGGTATATGCAGAGTTCCAGAGAATCACAAACCAGAACCTGCCCAACACATTCTACACCGAACTTGACCGTCACATTCCTTGACTGATGACCTTATTCAGACAGAAGGCATCCAAAACTAGGAAAACAGAGGATGCTTTGGCTAAAATTCAAAAATTCACGATGAACAGGTGAAAAAATTATACAATTCATAGGTTGAACCTTTAACGTTGGATGAGTTCAGGTATTGAAATGAGCTTTGGAATTCTACAATTAGTTAGCTTAATTACCTCTGCCAACGAAGTTGGGGCAGAGGTTATGTTTTCGCCCCTGTTTGTTTGTTTGTCTGTCTGTTTGTGAACAACATAACTCAAAAAGTAATACACGGATTTGTCTGAAATTTTGTGCGTGGATTGCCATTACATCAAGGATGGACCCTATTGATTTTCACCGCGATCAGTGAAACAATATGGCCGCCACGGCAGCCATTTTGAAATCCTGTGACACGTGATAACTCAACTTTGCTCCCACTCATGAAGATTTGGATTGTGCTTCCTTGGCAGAGGTTTGCACTCTACGAGTGCCTCTAGTTTTTGCTGTTTTTCTGATTGCATTCAAGATGAGAACAGGTTATTTATGGATATATGATTGGACTGTTTTAGAATCAGGTTTGTTCAGTAAATTTCACAATCAACAGTATGCACACTTCTGTTTTTATTGTTATAGAAATTACATGACATGCACACGAGGCGCACCACTGTTCTCCATGCCCTTCCCTTGTATCTGCATGAGGAAGTCTCTGGATTGCACTAGCCTGAAATACGTGTTAGTCACTGTGGCTACCTGACTCTCCATTTCTTTAGCCACATCAGAGGTCTGTTAGCACTGTGGCTAATCAGGTCCAAAAACTGTTAGCCACATTTACTCTACA